GAAGTAACTACAAGCATGCTTCATCTTCTATTCAAGAAGATTTGGGAGGAGGAACAAGTGCCGATGGATTGGAAAGAAGGACACCTCATCAAGATTCCAAAGAAAGGAGATCTGAGCAAGTGTGAAAACTACAGAGGCATTACACTACTGTCAATACCGGGTAAAGTCTTCAACCGAGTGTTACTGAACAGAATGAAAGACGCAGTTGACGCTCAACTTCGAGATCAACAAGCTGGATTCCGTAAGGACCGGTCATGCACAGACCAGATTGCGACACTACGGATCATCGTCGAACAATCAATTGAGTGGAACTCGTTACTGTACATCAACTTCATTGATTATGAGAAGGCATTTGACAGTGTAGATAGGAGGACGTTATGGAAACTTCTTCGACACTACGGAGTTCCTGAGAAGGTTGTCAACATTATCCGGAACTCATACGACGGAATACAGTGCAAAGTAGTGCATGGAGGACAGCTGACAGACGCATTCCAAGTAAGGACCGGAGTAAGACAAGGCTGTCTACTCTCACCCTTCCTCTTTCTTCTGGTGGTCGACTGGATTATGAAGACCTCGACATCTGAGAGAAACTACGGCATACGATGGACAGCTCAGAACCAATTAGACGACTTGGACTTCGCAGATGACCTAGCCCTCCTATCACATACACACGAACAAATGCAGATAAAGACAGCCAGCATAGCAGCAGTCTCTGCATCAGTAGGCCTCAACATACACAAAGGGAAAACTAAGGTCCTCAAACACAACACGGAGAACAGCAATCCAATCACTCTTGATGGCGAAACTCTCGAAGATGTGGAATCCTTCACATACCTGGGAAGCATCGTCGATAAACAAGGAGGTTCAGATACAGACGTCAAGGCGAGGATTGGCAAAGCTAGAGCGGCATTCCTTCAACTGAAGAACATATGGAACTCAAAACAACTTTCAACCAATATCAAAGTCAGAATCTTCAATACGAACGTCAAGGCAGTTCTACTGTACGGAGCTGAAACTTGGAGAACTACAACAACCACCATCAAGAAGGTACAGGTATTTATTAATAGCTGTCTACGCATGATACTCAACATCCATTGGCCGGATACCATCAGCAACAGCCTTTTGTGGGAGAGAACCAACCAGCTTCCAGCTGAAGAGGAAATTAGGAAAAGACGATGGAAATGGATAGGACATACATTGAGGAAATCATCAAACTGCATTACGAGACAAGCGCTAACTTGGAATCCTGAAGGGAAGCGGAAAAGAGGAAGGCCAAAGAACACATTACGTCGGGAAATAGAAGCAGATATGAAAAAGATGAATAAGAACTGGAAAGAGCTTGAAAGGATTGCCCAGGACAGGGTTGGATGGAGAATGCTGGTGAGCGGCCTATGCTCCTTCACGAGGAGTAACAGGCGTAAGTAAGTAAGTAAGTACTTCATGAATCTCGAATATACTGGGTTTGGCCCCTGATGTGACTGTGAGTGAGCAATGATAAGGAGTTCCACACTTGAATGAATCAGAAATTCAGTGATTTCTGGTTTTTAAATAGTCTTCCACTTAAAATTGGCCGATCATATTAACTACAACGAGTGGAAAATTCCTATAAACTTTGTGTGTTAAAAAGTTATTTCAATTTTGGTCTTCGTCATTTTTCTGTGATCAGGGTGTCCAAACATTTTATGCAGAACGTTTGGTTACTTGTAAATAGATAAAAAAGTTTAGAAAATATTTTGTCAGAAACCCTTCTCATGAGTTACTCAGCTCACTGTTTTTAAAAGGAATCAGTTACTTTTAAGGATCCAGAAAGAGTGATTAGAAAACAAATTGTTCTCTATGCACAATACATTTTAATTTATCTCAGTATATTTTATATTAACGGTGAAAAGATTCAGTAAATAAATGATATTCGGAAAAAGAGGATAGAATAGTCTAGGAGAACAAGTTTTTACACATGCCATTATATTAACATGCATCAAGGAATATTAGTGTGCATTCAATAATGGAGAAATTATTTTCAAGCGCACAAAAGACATTTAAATTTTATAACACCTTGGGTTTTCACCTACCTCATAATGTTTTGCTTACTGTTCATATATAAGAATTTGTTAGTCGTTTTCAGATGAACTTCATGACATTAGGAAAGCATAATTTCTAATCCTGTGCATATCTCTGAAGCTGTGGTTCTGATTTTAAAGCCATTTTTTTATATTCCTCTACCCTCGATTGTTTGTTCACATATGTTTGCCAAGTATTACCCATGTGATTCGAGTGAAGCGATATGACTGACTGTCTCGATAAAGACAAAGTGGTCTGTATGATAAGTTTTTTCTACTGTTGTTTTCAGAATAGTACTCGAAGTTATATTTGAAATGTAATGTTACTGAATCGTACACTCTTCACAAGCCTACCATATATGAACTGATGTGAACTTTTATGAGCTCTTGGTACGTTTCTTACTGGTACCTTACCTGTGATATTTGGTAGGCTCATCTATTCTCCTCTTTTTACTGAGAATGCTGACTATTAATTAATACCAAGTATTCTTGTGATAATTATCACTAAGATGAATATCACCCATTGACATACATAAGTTATCTCCAACAGTACGTGAATAGAACCAGATGCTCTAAACTCGATTTTACTAAACCATACAAATTGAGGAGTTTATATAATTCATCGAGTCACTGTATTCCGATTAGAACTATCTCAGAAATAACCATCTCTAATCTACTAGAACATAGAAATAACAATCTTAGTATATGAGATACGAGATCAGAATTATTGATTGAATATAATCGTTAAGATTATGTGCGGTACAATAACTCCGAGGTTACATACTCTTATCATGACCCGAAGGACCGGTTGTTGACACAAAATTGTATTGAATTTTTCGAAACAATCAAAGGTTCCAAATAAAAATTAAGAAAAGATGGACTGTGTTTTTTTATTTCTACTTAATCTTTAGTTTATGTTCTGTATTGTATTACTTTCTTCTAAAACTTTATCGTTGAGGCCAAGATCAAAAAAGAAATGATAGAATTTATGTATTTTTAACTCAGGAATTTTGTAAGAATGCTAATTAGATTTGTGAAATAACTAAACCTTAATTATAATTCACTCACAACGTAAATCCAGAAATTCCTCTCTACTATTTTAAACTAAATAACAACAAACAAAATACATCTCAGTATCAAGTTATTTACACCGTTGTCCAGATTTAAAACTGATCGATTGAACTCTGTTACTACTCTTATTTAGATTCTGTAACATAGATTAATATTTTATAATCAGTTAATGATAATGTCTTGGTTCTGATAGAAGGTTAATCACGGTCAAAAATAAAGCTCTGTCTACAGCACTAGGTGATAAAAGTTTAAATCCTGAAGAGTACATCATTTCTACCAAAGATATCAACTACATTTTGTTAACGAGTACCAACTAACAGTAAACCAAAATTTAGTTCTTTTCATCAGCTATTATCAATTACTTTAACTTTAACTATAACATTCACTTTAATCCATTACTTTAGATTTCAATCAATTACGTTGTAACCTATATCTTTGAATAAATATTATTCCTTATTGTAAATTCAAATATAGTTCTAAATAAATAACTAAAAAAGAAACTGAATTAATCGATAAATAGAAACTGATATTATCGATAAAGCACTACTAACCAGTATATATAATATGACCTGGTATACTAGTTTTAACAATTAACTAAACAAAACAATAGAATATACACCAAGAAATATTAAATTTTATTGTTTGTTTTTCTATACTTATAAAAAAAATAATATCAAACAATAGATAAATATATACTTTATAGTTGACTTAAACCTGTACAATTGAATCGATTGATAAGAATTGTTTGATTATTCTATTACGAATATTAACAATACTAATAATTAATTGATTTATTATTATCAATTAAGTTGGAGGTAATTTGTGATTGTATACTTTCTGAAGTATGATTAATTGTAGAAGAGAGAGAGAGAGAGAATGTACAGAATGAATTACTATTACAATGTCCTAAATTATGTTATCTATCAGTATACAAGACAATTACACTCCAAAAAATGCGTGATATGATTGATAATATTCCCTATTATTAATCAGCTGAATAAAAGTGTCAACAGTTATTATTGTTATTAATTTATGTTTGTATTGTTATTATTACTAAATTATTTAGTGCAAATAATTGGTAATATTAATAAATAACAATATGTACCATATGCTCAAAATTAGTTATTAATCATTTATCTTAGTATTATTTCTAATTAACTTATAAATTTTAACTATATTCTTAATTTCCATTGGCCATTAGGTGGAGACCAACAACAACTTACTGTGGCAGAGAACAAATCAAATTTCAGTTAAAGAGGAAATTAGAAAAAGACGTTGAAAGTGAATAGGACATATATTACGGAAATCATCAAACTGCATCACGAAGCACACACTAACTTGAAATCCTGAAGGTAAACGGAAAAGAGAAAGACCAAAGAACACACTGCATCGGGAATTGGAGTCAAACATGACAAGGATGAACAACAACTGTAAAGAATTAGAAAGGATTATTGAGGATAGAGTTGGATGGAAAATGTTGTTGAATAGCTTATGCTTCTCTTCGAGGGGTAACAGGCGTAAGTAGCTAAATTTCCATAGAAAACATTTTAAATGAAATTTATACAGAAAATGGAAAATTTGATATTTAATAGTGAAAATCGTTAACAGGTACATTAAAGTTCACTGTTACTTAAGTAAAATGTAATATATAAATCGATTTATACAAATCGATTTTTGATACTTATGATATGACTCTGAACTGCTTACTTCTGTGTAAAATTAATCATTGGTGTGTAAAAAATACTTTAAGCTTAAAGGATAAAAAATCGTCTATCAAAATTACTTTTTTAACACGATATAACTACGAACTTTTCGTTTTGTTATTTTCTTTACAAACGTAAACATTCTTCTTACAATGTTATGTTTTCTTACCTGATGATATTCAGCGGCATTCCTAATGTGTACTTGACTTAACCGGGCCAATTGAGAAACATATGTCCAACAACTTTTCACATTACCAGTTAATTCCTTTTTAATTTATGCAAAGAAAAAAAATCAACGGAAAATTTGGTCAATGAATTGAATTTAAAAATCGGACTATGTTGAGTGTGAAATAATCAGACATAAATAACACTGAAATATAGTAGATCAATATCGCGAATTAATCGATGTTAGAAATATCAACTAATGGATTGTGAGTTAGCAGTTTAAAGGTGTCCTGAGTTCGACTCCTGATGGGGATGAATACTATTGGGTAGTCTCATACAGAGAAACAGCATTTATATAGTATCTTCTGAATTTAAATGTTTGTGGAGCTACAATCGGTCCGTGATATAAATTTTCAAACGCAACAATCTTCATAATCCTTTCATGATAACTTCAACAGATTATACTAAAGAATATCTGACCAATTTCATCCTTTGACTTTTCATCCGCGTATGTCAATGATCTAATCTAGGAATAAATTCAAATTCCACATACCAATTCAGTTAGTAAGTTACATACAACTTAAGGCCTAGCATGTATATATCCAGTTGTTTAAATAGTCATACTTAACTCACAAAAACTAACTAGGTTAAAATAGGAGAAATTAAAATGAATTAGTAATTATATGAATGATTGTGAAGAATTAAACGTACGAAATGTAAATCGGAAAGAAGAAATTACGAAAACTCAAAACCTAGAAGACAATAGAGACTGCATACATCAACTTCATTCAAACAGATCAGTCAACCATAGATGATAATTATCTCAATGATAACGAACAGAAATTTTATAATTTTCTTCATGGGTCAAATAAATACTCACTGATTTCATGAACTAATGCTGTACCAGAGACTACCTCCAACTATCAAAATAGTGTACATGATATGGAGTTATCTAGACTGATGGTCATATTACAACTTGATCGATAGAATTCAGCCACTATTAAAGGATTAGACGAAGATAATATTAATCAGCACTAAATCAATAAGCTGATACCACTTATCGGTTTGAGCATCCAGAGCCTTCTTACAAACTACATGTATTCTAGCCAGTGTTGGACAGTGCATAGGTTTGAGTACAACACATAACTCAATAACCCTACTCCATGAACGTTTACAGTAAATAATTATATATATATATATATATATATATATATATATATATATATATATATAATTATTTTGATTAAAAAGTGCTCATGACTAGCTTCAAAACTACTCACTCACTGATTACATCATACATGAGTAATGCTTTTAAAACTTATATTATCAAATACTTTCAGCCTATTCATATCATTCAACTTGAAGGTAATGTTTCACAGCTATAAAGCAATCCGGAGAGAACATATGGATAGTATACTTGCCCTTCAATAGACGAACAAACATCTCTCCTGTATAATCGATTCAGATGATCTTAAATAACAGTGTCTTTGCTATCAGTTAATGATTTTATACGAAATATCCTTTGGTTATAATGAAAACATGAGACAGTTACGATTAACTGGATACAAAGCATTCACTATTAAAATTAGCGATGGTTGTCGTAGTACAATGTTACTTCCGCCATTAAAGCCAGTTCCACTGTTTCATGAAATAAGAGAATCTTGATTTGCATTACAATATGAGGCTTGTGTACTTTCCCTCTAAATCAAGAAGTGTCTGGTAAAACGTGATTTAGATTAACAAAATGCCTAATCCATTATTTACACTTTGTTTTGTTATTTAGTATAGATACGCATATCATGACGCACTTTAAAAACGTATTTCTTGAAGAAACATTCGTATTGTTTATGCCTGTAATTAATTGTAAAGAAAATGTAAATGATTTACACTTTCCCCCCTTCATTAAAATGAATAGCAGTCAGTTTTTTGCTGCTCATTTTTCTCATATACTTCATTGATTTTATACCGGGCAAATCCCTAAATAAAGCGAAACATGTGTCTTGGATTTTGCTACAAGTTACTATTCAAATTTTTATGGATGTGCATGTATTTCAATATCGAAGCTCAGGATGAACATATACGATGAAGCGGCTGATCACTGAAGACCTTAACATTAACAATAGTCAAATAAAGGTTTCCTATAAATAATAAATTAATATTAAAAAAAAACTACAAATAAAAGTGAGTACTACAGAAATAATTAACTAAGATTAGCTTATTGCCAAAAACTACTTTTATTATAGTAATAGTAGTGATGGTATATACAATAAATTAACTCCATGATTTTTATCTTTTATTTTTATTAAATTATGTTTAAAATAAAAAGTAGAAATCAAAAGAGAATATTTCATTGTCATGTTAACTGAAATCTTTATTTAAAGAAGAATAAAAAGAGGAGCGGGAAAAGGGGAAAACTAACTTTTTTCACATGAACTTCATCTTTTAATTCCTTAGGAGCACTTAATTGTACAGAGGTTTCAGTGACATTTTCTGTTAGAACCTAAATAAAAATTATTGATTAAATTATGATTTATATTTATAACTTACTGTAAATGAATTCTCCAATTGAGATATTGTTTCTAAATAACGTAATGCTGATGTATTATTTTTCACATCATCCTTAAAATATTGAAAAAGAAATATAAAAAAATTTTTATTATTAAAAGATAAAAACAAAATATATGGTTTAGTGATCAATTGAATTTGAACAATTATTTCATTTTAAACAATAAATATATTTTAAACAGAGATGGATGATGGCTAGCAGTAGAATCCATGATGCATGTTATGTCCTATTTGAGACTAGTCGGCTGGATATACCTGCATCCTATAGTTGATTTTCACTCCACGACTCGAGCCAAGTACTGTTCACTTCAAATGGCATTATGTTTTTCACTTAGCTACTGAGTCCAAATAGCCACTAGCTTATGCAATAAATATATTTTATTAGTTATTATAATGACCATTAGTAAGATTAGCGCTCTTTTCAGCAAGGTTATTTTCTACGAGTGGCATTCCTATAGTTGGAGAACATATAGAACCTTAAAAAGCTGTCATTCGATATCACAGTCAGAATCTTAAGTACAAACTTCAGGATAGTTCTACTGCATGGAGCTGAAACTTAGAGAACTATCACAACAATCATCAAAATGGTACAATTAGTTATAAACAGTTGTCTACGCAAAATACTTAATGTCTGCTGACAGGATATCATCGACAACAACTTACTGTGGCAGAGAACAAATCAAATTTCAGTTAAAGAGGAAATTAGAAAAAGACGTTGAAAGTGAATAGGACATATATTACGGAAATCATCAAACTGCATCACGAAGCACACACTAACTTGAAATCCTGAAGGTAAACGGAAAAGAGAAAGACCAAAGAACACACTGCATCGGGAATTGGAGTCAAACATGACAAGGATGAACAACAACTGTAAAGAATTAGAAAGGATTATTGAGGATAGAGTTGGATGGAAAATGTTGTTGAATAGCTTATGCTTCTCTTCGAGGGGTAACAGGCGTATGGAAGAAAATAAGTAGGTAATAGTAGAGTTCAGAATGTTTCTTTCGTTCTATTTGATACTGAACTGGACTTGATAAATATTAAGATTCAGGTGCGTACATCTAGTTAGTGAAACCATATGTAAGATGATATATACGTTGTGAATTTCATTGCTAGTCGTTATTTGAAAAATGAATTATCTTGTAATCATGGATAATACATTGAGGTATCTATTCATAAAGATTACATACCAATGAGAAACTGATTGAAGTCAATACTCAATCTCAACATTGGACAAGCATAAATCATTATGAACAAAAATATATTTCACTTTTTTGTGAAAATCTGAGGTATGTGAACTTCATTTCACAGTAAACTCAGTATTTGTAATATTGGTTAGTTTGTCTAATTAGCATTATCTTCTTACAAACATGCTTTAATTATCTTAAAGTTTACGAAAATTAACATAAATATCAGGAAAAAATAGTGTAGTGCTTACACGAATCTCAGCGACTGCGTCAGGTAAATGTGATTTTTGTGCACTCTAAAAAAGTAATAATCAATTGAATGAATAAATTGGTCAATGCGGACAATGATAGAAATAAATCTAGATTTGAAAACAATTTACATTACGTAAGAATTTTAGTTAGACAACTGTTGTAAAAACACATAGCACTGGACATCTGTATCTTTCTAGTAAATGGCTTCTTATCAATGTACACACTATACGCCGTCACAAGAGATCGTATCTTGGACATTCAAACAATTGAGTTGACATCCAGTGATTATTGAAGTTCTTTCAACGCTGACACTGAAAATCCTTATATTAGGACAATTTATCTTTCCAGTTATCTTTTTATTTTCCAATGCTTATACAGTTAGTATTGTTACCTAATTTGTCAATCTATCATTAACGTGAATAATCTTTATAAATGTTACATTTTATTAACTTACAGATTGTTGAATATCTTTTTCTAGTTGTATAATTTTCTGTAATAATTCAGCTTGTCTAACACGTTCACTGTCAAGTGCTAAATGATTTACACCTATGCATACACCACGAGCTTGACGCTAAGAAGAAAATCAACAAAGAATTAATAAGAAACAAAACAAAATAAGTGGTATATATAGGTGCGTTGCGTGTTTAAGCATATTATTTTCATATATTTAAAATAAACTATAATATTTTGTCATTTTTGAGTAGTGATTGATGGAATGTAAGACATGAGTCTCATCTTATTTGGGACTTATCAGCAGGGGGTAACTGTACATCTCAGTGTTGATGTTTACACTGAGACGTGAACCCATTATCTTTAGGTTCAAACAAAAATACAAATTTTTACAAATAAGATTATGATATGTTTTTACGTCAAATTTATAATAAAGTAACTAGCTATAAAGTGAATTAACATATCTTCGATTATGCAATTTACTCTACTTACAACTAATTCCTTATATATATATACCTTCAGTTGGGCCACAGCAATCAAAACCTTTGACTCGATTTGAGAAGCTTTTATAGTAAGCTATCTCTTTGTCATAATTGTTCGTCGATTTATAAAGTAGATGAATGTAGTCAAAATAAAGTAAGATGTACTTTAATGGATTAGTTATATACTAATTTTAAAGTATCACAGATTACGGACTTTTTTTCTAGAAATAATTTTGTTACTCATCAATGATGTAAATTGATAATACGTAATCTAGTTCATGAGTATATCAGGTATTTTTTCTCATGTAACTATTACAATCAATTGATTAACATCATTTGCCACATTCACTTGGTATTGTTTCTTTGTATCTTCCCATTGTTGTTTAGGACTGCAATTGATCATTCTTTTGTTGGCATGTATACATCCTGTACAGATTGACTCGATATTGCACGAAGTCACAAGATTTATAAGTAAACAAGTCACAAATAGGACTAATTTCACTGCTAGCCACTATCCATCTTTGCTTATAAACCATTTGCCACAGTTTAAATAGAAGAATAATTTAAATAGATCTGTTTATTAACATTTGTGTTACTGAAAAAACTAAATAAAAATACCATAGTAATTTATTATTATACCTTAATTGTTTAAATTAATTATTTTCTATTCTAGAAATGTGACACTATTTAAATTTAGATTGAGCATAATTAAAAGAGTATTTTATACATTGAATTCATTACAAATACATGATCCTGGATAAGGTATTTGTATATTTATATAATTACTATTTCAGTTGTATATCTACATTACAGTGAGCATGTCTTATTATTTAATTTCTAAAAATTGAATACATCAAATTAAATTTTATTTTCCCATAAAATTTCAACTTAGATGTTATTACCATTCAATTTTTATATTTAACTGATCACTGCATTGTTTTACTGTTACTACAGTTAAACAAAACACAATTGGTTAAACTTGATAGTTTCAAATAAATTGGGCATTGATTGGAGAGTTTAATAATAAATATATTATTTTTTTGTGATATCACAATAAGTAGAAAATTATAATTCTCACGTTTTGTCACTTAATGTAAGCTACTTCCTCAGAGTGTAGAAGAAGAGGGTTACATTAACTGACGAAAAGTTAGAAATACAGCTTTTCTACTTACAGTGAGATATCACAGAAAAATATACTTGTTATTAATGATTGGTTAATTTGATAATTTAGATGTAACATTACAAAAGACAAATAAGGTTAGTGTTTATGCTTACCTCGAATTCAGTCAGTCGAGCTTGAAGACTTTCAGTAGCTACATGAATTTGGATAAATAATTACAATGAAAAAAATATCATGAAAACACAATTAATTGAATAAAAACAATCTTCAAACAATGTTTTCACCGTTGCATAAAAAATTATCCAATGATTTCTTTGATGTTTTCCATTTTATCAAAAATTGTGGTATAAATAAATAATGTTAATCAATTAACGAAATGCACAATAGATAGTGGCTAGCAGTGGAATGCAGGACACGCGTTTCGTTTTATCTGGGGCTCATCAGCTGGTTATATATACTCTTTTTTCAGTTAATATAACTGTCATAAATCATTAATAATAAATGATTTGGAAATTCATTAAACAACCAAAAATCTACTGTAAAAGTTTACATCGTTGTTATGAGTTTCCTAGTTGTTTCAAATCTCTCTCTCTCTCTCTCTCTCTCTCTATATATATATATATATATATATATATATATATATATATATATATATTCATACTATATGTGTATTTCAACGCGTTTCACACATTTAAATACTTTGTCAACAAGCGTCAATCCCACAAGTGAACGAGTCGTTACGGAATCGATCATTGAACAAAAAAGGCCATTATTTTGCTAATTACACATTTTAAAAGTCTGTAAAGTCTAGTTTATATTTCTTTGATTTCAGAAATGCATTTCTTTGATGCTTTATGTAGAATCATTATTCAGTGGTAATAAAACTACTATTGATAATAATAAATAATAGTAGCAGTAGAAGACGAATAACTGAAAGAAATCACAAATCACGTGGACATTGTTTTTCTTATATGAGAGAATTTCGTAATATGATCAATAGTTTTATATTTGTCTTAAAATATAACTAATGATTCTAACATGTTGTTTGAATAAAATTTGCTATACAATCCTGAATTGATTAACAGTACGTGTGATCTTAAACTCAAATAAAAACTAAGTTTTTACTCATAAATTTGTTTTAAATGACTAATGATATGGGTTATGATTCAATGTTTTAACGTATTCAGTAAAATATACACTTTTAGCGAATTAGTGATTGATTCAATAAATAACACTGTACCTGGGGAAATTTTAACCATAAAATTAACCATTACATTGTAATCTCTCAAGTTAAACATATACATCTATGCAAACGTAATTCTATACGAGTTTATGAATTGTTCATACGTTTAAAAGTTTTATAGTGAATAATAAAACAACTATTCTATGTTCTTGTGATTTAAACCAACAGTTATTAGTTCTGTTATGATCCCTATTCTCTGAAAATCCTTCATAATTCTTTTCAATAATTTATATTATCTTAAATCTTCGATTTGAAGTTTTGAAAAAAAACAACCTATTTAATACATTAAAAACTAAATCATGTTTCACAGAGAAACATGACTTCATTTAAAACAGTAAACCAATTCTCTTAACTTACCCATTTATTTCCAAGTATATTATTAGTTGAATGTTGAATATTGAACAGAGGAATGATTCAAACGACAAAGAAGAATAAAAACTGGAGCGTAATTCTAACTAGATTGATTGATTGATTGTAGCGTATACGAATGTTATTGTTGAAGCTGATGTATAATATCAATGTAACTAGCAGTAATCCCAGGACGATAATTAGTTGTAGTCTTGTATCAATAAATATGTATAATAATTAAATAAAAAAGAGGTAAGAAACAAACAAACACAAAAAAACTAGATGCAAATAATTGTTTTCTAATTTATATGTAAATAATATTACAATGCTGATTATTGGATGTTGTCATTCGAATAAGATTAAATTGTGAATAGTTGATATTCATCATATTCTTTCTTGTTGTTTCCTTCCTTTGTTAGCCAATATTAAATTGATGAAATTTGTTTTCTTCTTAGAGAAGAAATAAAAACACGAAACAATGATCGGTACAAATGTGGTAAAGAAAATCAAAGGAAGAAAGAACAAGTGGTTAGCATGTAGACAAATTTTTAAAAATATGTACTTGAAAAAAAACGAATATTTCTAGTAGAAGGATATCTACTAGGATCCAATGTTGTATATGTAGTTAATATTCCAACAGTAGACAACTAGACAGTGGAAGACGGCCACATATACACACACAGGCAGTGATAGAATAGAAAATATGTAATTATGAATTAGTAAGTGAGCTGAATGAAAACTACAGAGATTGTCAACTTGATAAAGAATAATAATGATAATATTATTATTATATTTCCGAACTGGATCGAATCGAAAATTGGAATGATGTTTATGAAAATGATAATATTAGTAATAACAATAATAATAATATTCACTTCTCCTTCCTAGTTAATCTCTGCTAACCGCCATTTGAATGTATTTGCTACACAATGAGTGAACACCATCAAAGTTCTGATTTAAATTGTATATTATTATGCCTTTTTATAAAAATCAGTCTAATTGTACATTGAATAGTTGGATTGTGCTATTTAATTTGGTGATCCATTGAAGGAATGTGTCTGTGCATAAAATCCACAAATCGCATCAATACAAAGCTTCTGTTTGTATTGTCGATTGAAAGAGAGAGAGAGAGAGAGAGTACACACGTGTATATTTATGTACTCTCACCAAAATATATTATTCACATAAACATAGATACATACATACTTTCATTTATTTTACCACTCACACAATACCCGTCAAATAAGAAAAAATAGCTTAGTCTTATAAAGTGTAGTGTAATGTACATTAGACTTAACTAAAATGAGTGCATAGTCCAAATTTTAAACTATTTGCGTAGGCGATATATACAATAATATAAAAAGTTGAACTTCAAAAATTCGTCTTCTACATCTCTTATTCTCATATTATTCACTCCACATTCTTTGTCAGTTTGTTATGTTATTTCTATTCATCGTATAAATAATTTATAATATGGTTAATTGACATAAATACTGTCTCAAATCGATCCAGTTATAGTGGATTTGCTTACTAAAAAGTAATAGTATATATATGCGAACTATACTGAATATTGAATGACGTAAACACTAAGATAGGAAGGTGTACACAACACAAACAAATACATCAAATAAACTTAAAATTTGATACTCATTAAATAAGTATAAGATTCGTGAGTTAGATTGTAGAGAGTACGAAATAGAGAGAGAGACAGAATTGTGCACAAAGCTTATAAACATAAATTCACACTGAATGGTATATATATATATATATATATATATATATATATATATATGCACTTGCATGCATAAGTGCATAAAATAAGGAAAGACAATATGTTTATTGAAATAAAAGAGATACATAACATTCACATATTTTATGCAATATATACATATATAATACAAACATCTCAATGAAACTGGTGTATGTGAACATCTGTGCCAAATCGATTCACCTTATCCTATCATTATATCCGATCATACTTACTCTATATTAATGTTAAAAATTACCATTACATTATATAAGATTAGAATAATAGAAAAGTCTTTCGAGTATTCTACTTAAATTTTTACCTATAAATATGAAATTTTTACGAAGTTTTCATAATCTAAGTTTATCTATTATAAGCAAAGATGGAAAGTGGCTAACAGTGTAAGCGAACGGTACTGGGTTTGAGTCCCAGAGTGAACATCAACTCTGAGATGCAGGTATATCCAGCCGACGAGTCCCAAATAGGACGGAAAGCGCGTCCTGGATTAAACTGCTAGTCACTATCCATCTTTGAATTAAGGCAATATCGAGGCAATACGCACAGTATGCACATATGCTAATAAGAGACTGATCAATCTTAGTCCTAATCATCGATGGGAAGATTCAAGTACAAAAATACCAAGTGAACTAAGTTTATGTAGCTTTTTTCTATCAAACATTGACCTTTGTACGTGAAATTTTGATGTTGAAAAAACTATAGTAAATTGTTAAAAACCACAAATATATATGTTTAGTCAGTTTTCCAGTAATGATAGATTCGAATATGTGCTCATTTAAGATACGAAAATAAATCAATCGTGGGTGCGCACTGCTGATGAGTCTAACAGTAGGACGAAACGGCTGTCCAGTGCTTAAAGTTTTCTATGGTGGTCTAGCTTCAATTGACTCATGATCTCAACTACTAAAATAAATAAAAGTTACTAATGTACTCACTACAATTATTCTACAACTTTGTTTGAGAACTAAACTCATGAAATTAATAAATAAGTATAGTATGAACTGTTCAATTAATACATAAATCGAGTTACCAAATTAAAGGGAATGATTTGTGAATATCGTTCGAATTTGTCAACATTTAACAAACATGTGAGAAGAAAACAACTAGATGGCTGAAACTTCTAATTCCTGAAGACTTTGCGAAATTTTTGAATAATGGAAAAAAAAGATAAGATTGTAGTGAACGAGAACACACGTGGGTACAATCGAATGTAAAGGAAGAAAAAATTACAAAATCTCTTAGTAAAATCTAAGAATCATACAGTAAATTCTTCATTGGCAAAATGTCCATCAATTGTCTCAAACTTGCAAATATCAGCCGATTCTCTCAGAGTTCATTGTTCTTTCACTTCTACACCAATCGTTCTCTGTTCTCATTCTCTTTTCTTCTATCTTCTTAACCTTCTGCCTCCAGGCATTTCACTTTCAACTGATGATACATACTACTTATATCTATCGACATCAGTAGCACACAACACAAGGTAATTTTCGTGACACAAATAAGAGTATGATTAAAACATTGTGATTGATATGTATCCGAAATTTGTAAAATATATTTTTAATGATCTTATTTCGGCATATTTATCGAATATACTATGTAAAGTTTTCAGTTAAAGTATACTTTGGGGACGAGCTTAAAACAACCACGGTGAATTTCCAACCAATCAAAAAACAGTATCTATAAATGAATGGACTATAAAAAAGAAATCAATAATGTTGCAAGGTGTGGACTGATTTGTATGTAATTGATAAATCTATTAATATCTTCTACAGGTTTCTCAATCAGTAAACTAAAAAAACAACTACGCATTAGCTCTCCTTTACGGATATAGAACATACAACCATTCTAACAATTTTAACAACCTAAACAAATTTTGAAGTGTCTTTATTTGATCCTAACTAGGGTTAAGTATTTAGACTAAAGATTAAGTGTTTAGGGTTGAAGTATTAATCGCGAATTGACACCAACCATGATATAAAAATATTTTATAGATATATGGATTTCGTTCGGAAATACACAGGGTGCAATCTGTTTGGTTCATTCATAAAATATGGTTCCACCAGGTTAAATTTTTTTCAGAATTAAGAATTTAGGTTACGGATTTAAGAACAGAGACAATTTACCGGTTATATGCAATCTAGGGAGACAGGATTAGGTATTTCATATGTTGTACACTATCACTGTACTCTGTAGTGACATAAAATAACTTTTTACTATTATTTTAACGTTTTGAACAATATACGAAGGTATTTCTACTGTTCGTTGTACATGCTATTTGAAATTTGCGCAAAAACTTATTAGTTGCGTTCTTGATTGTTTTGTCCTTAAAGTGTACATTTAACAGACCTTGTTCTATCAGACTCAATTCAATAAAAATCACTGGTAAATAGTTCGCACATACTTATCACTATCATGAAAAATAAAACCTCAATGTTCCAAAACATTTATGTTGTAACCTGCAGAAACTGATGAATATTTTTGACCAAAATGTTGTCATTTTACAGCATATATACCCTATTTAAATAACTCAAGTTCACTTCTACCTGAAGTTTGTACTGATGATGTTGTTCAGAAGAACAATGAAAGCTTCATGACCAAACTATCCAACTCAAAGAACAAAACTCCACTTGAGCTATAAATTTTCTGCACCAGCTCAAAAGACTAGAAAATTACGATATTAGTTACTATTTTAATATCAATCAATGTATACAACCATGTAAACTATTTAAACTGTAAAATAATAAAAAGAGATCAATGATAACAAAAGTGATTATCCGTAAATATAAATAAACCAAAATAGCATTTATATAAGGTGACTGATGAATAAATAATTTACTTAAATTTACCAGGATGTAAAATCTATTTTTAAAAAAATATTCATAAGTTGATAAAGGTGAAACAGCTTTTTCTAAACAATAAAGAGTTTGACTCATCATTAAACTTTAATGTAAAAAAATGCACTCACATTCCAGAGTTATACATGAATACCTGCATCGACATCTCTGAATTTATATATGTGTATGTTTATATGTGTATGTATGTGTATGTTTAAATGTCAGTTTAAGAAACTGTAATATTGAACAAGCTTATTCAATGATGAGAAATGTATGAATCAATTAAGACAAAGTGATGTAGAAAAGTTTCCTGTTGAAATGGAAACTTTGGTAAAATAACATGTCGGTTATTTTATATAACCATCTGAAAAATATTTAAATATAAATTACGTTGGCAAAGATGGTTATAGGCGT